TTCTTAGCAATAAAATCACTTTTCACTCAGACTTAAAAAGTAAAGATTTTAAAATCATAAATAATATTCAACGTTAAACTGGTACACAATTAAAAACATTTTATTTAGGCCTACCTATGGCCTTCAAAAAGTTGACGAGTCTCCTGAGAATGATGATGTAACGTCGAAACGTAGAGTCGTCGACTTTTGAAGGCCATAGGCAGGCCTAAATAAAATGTTTTATATTGTGTACCAGTTTAACGTTGAATATTATTTATGATTTTAAAATCTTTACTTTTTAAGTCTGAGTGAAAAGTGATTTTATTGCTAAGAATAAATGTAGTTATTTTTATCTTTCAGTTTTCATAATTCTTAGGGTCCCTTAGGGCTGTGTCTTGAGTGTCACACTTTTTAGTATTGAGATTAATGCTATCACTACACAACTTTCTTCTACTGTTGCAAACGAGCTCTGTCTTGATGACTTCCACATCTCATGTCGGTCGTCGAACGTGAGGTTTATTGATCGGCAGTTTCAGACTACCCTAAATTGCTTGTTGAAGTGGACCACAGCAAATGGTTTTACTTTTTCTTTTCCCAAAATCGTTTGATGCATTTTTGCCATGAATGAGGTCTACACCCCAATCCCGAACTTTGTCTTAGTGGTGTTCTTCCCATGGTCCCTGAAGCAAAGTTCTTGAGGCTTATCTTTGACTGTAAGCTTACTTTCATTCCTCACATAAAGTAGCTCCGTGTGAAATGTACAAGGGCATTGAACAACTTCTGTTTCCTCCCACTTCTTTAGACGTAGATCAGTGTTCTATGCTCAAGATCTATCATGCCATCATTTGATCCAAACTGGACAATGAGTCTGTGGTTCTGCCAGGACCTCAGCCTTGAAGATGCTGGACCCCATTCATCATCTGGGGCTTCATCTCTTCATGGGGGTTTTCGACACTTCTCCAGTCCAGAGTTTGTACACTGAGTCCCACCAAGCTTCAATCCTTACCACAGAAACCACCTGGATTGTGTCTTTTCTTCTTCGTGGACCATGCTCTTTCAGAATACACCATCTGCAATTCCCTCTTTTGGCCTTCATATCCAGGTGCAACTGGCTGAATTGGGTCTGGCATTGGATGATGTTGCTGTCCCCAATGACCAGCCCATTCCACCATGGTTTATTACCATCCCTAGATGTGACCTTTCCTGAATCTTCCGAGGAAGGAGGATACTCCCAAATGGAAGTACCATCTTCTCTTCACTGAACATTTTTCGAACCATTTTTCTATTCCCATTTACACAGATGGTTTGTAATTAGGTAGTTGCTCACAGGATCTGCTCTACAATTTTTGTTTTCACTGCTGAGTTGTATGCCATTTCTTTTGCCCTGGATCAAGCTATGCAGTACAGTGATTGTACTATTTATACTGATTCTCTTAGCTCTCTTCTTGCCCTGGAGTTGCTTAACTTTAGTTCTCACTCTGCTCTAGTCGATATCCAACAATGACTGGCCCATTTTTCTCTATCTTCTGTTTCCATCCAGTTTTTTGAATACCTGGCCATGTCGGTATTTGTGGGAACAAGCTCGCTGACACTGCAGCTAAGTCCGTCTGCTCTAGTCTGTCATAGCCGTGCCTGTCCCATATATGGAGTATGGTCCTGTATTCAAGGCATGGCTTTGTGCTAGTTGGCAGTCGACTTGGGACGAGCAACATCATGACAAGCTTTTCTTTCCAGATGAAACCTTCTGTTGCTCTTTGGCTGTCTTGTTTCTGTAAGGATTGGAAGGAAGAAGTTGTCCTTGCTAGGCATTGGTCACAGTTTTTTAACCTAACATTTTATTTATCTGGTACTGACCCTCCACTGTGCCACCTTTGTGACAATCAAGTCACATTTTACTGTTGTGCTGTCATTATGAACGTGAGCGGTTGCATCATTTTCGACATACATTTTCTACGGGTTTATTATCCTTGGACGGTGTCATTGGCAATGGTGACACTGTCCAACTTGATTGTATTTTTAAATGTTTTACAAGCTATTGGCCTTTTTAATTTTATTAAATCTTTTATCTGAATTTTGGACATATGCATTTTATGCATCTTATTCTTAATTTTTGCCCCAAAATGTGAACTCTTACATTTCTCCCAGAATTGGATGAAATTAAGTCATCTATCATCACTGATTCACCTGACAGTTATTCTTCCCTTTCTATGGTTTCTCAAATCGACATTTTTCCTAAAACTAACAACTCTCAATTCTTGTTATCTATTGAATCTACTAGTGAAAACCATATACGTAACCAGTCCACTTCTGAACCAGTGTCTAGTACTTCCTGTGTCTCCCTTTTTTCATTCTGAAGCTACTAATTCTGATGTAAGTGATTCAAAAAGAAAACAGTATTTTCAAAAACCTTGTAAAACTAACTGAGAAGCAAATGAAATACCTTACACACAGTAAACCTCTGCACAAGAACAAATATGTTCTTTTATCACCCTGGATTAAAGTTCCTATCATGATGGGTACTCATGATAAGGACTTTTGTAACACTTGTAACACTTTTCCAATCCCTGGAAAACACATTTTTGAAGATCAAAACTTATGGAAGGTTTTTGCCACAACACTGTAAATTAATTAGATCAAAAAGTCACCATTATTTAAAGGAAAAGCAAGCTCTCAATGATTTTAAACAGAAAATTAAAACCTCTTCTGTCAATAAAAAAAAGAAGCAAATATAAAAGGTCTATCAAAACAAACTGCACACTATTGCAAATCAAGAAGCAACCTGTACTTCAAATCATCTAAAGTAGTACAGATGTCTGGACTGTGAAGTTAATAAAGATAACATCATTTGTCTGTTTGTCTTGCATCATTCAAAGTTGCACAGATGCCTTCCAATTGTGAAGTGAATAAATAGAACATCACTTTTCTGTTTATCTTGTTTCATCCAAAGTAGCACAGATGCCTTCTAACTGTGAAGTTGATAAGTAGAACATTATTTATCTGTTTGTCTTGCTAACAAATCTAATGTCTTCATTAAAATTATAACCAATACAAAAGACAGCACCCCAAACTGTTCTAATATTGATATTCTGTCAAGTAGGACTCTAATGCAGAAACCATCTTTTTCAGTAAAGGGCTCAGTCTGTTAACAAAGCCAAATTTATTTCTGAACTACACAAATTTTCTGAAATTGAGAATCCATGAATTCTTTCATATCAAACCATCTTCTTCTAGTCAGAAACAAGTGCTCAGTTTTAAAGATAAATATATGTGGACATCTCCCACCATTAGAGAACAATGTTTAGGAACCTACATTACAATTGTTGAGAAAGACATGGTACAGTTATTAAAATTCTCCAAGCACACTCACAGTAAGTTCAACCTTAAAAAAGAAATTCTCTTAAGGCTTTAAAAAATTACAGTAACATCATTATGAAACCATCTGACAAAGATGGGGCAATTGTTATACTTGATAAAAATTACCCCACAGACATGAGAAAATACCTAGACTGTAGATCAAACTAGCCTAATAGTGTAAAGATGGGTATCATACACTTCAATTTCCAGAATATACGAAATTTTTTATACTAAAGAAGCTAAAAAGGAAGAAAAACAAGTCGTTATAACCCAGCAATAGGTACATGGAATACTTGATAAAGAAGAAGAAAATAAAGGTAAACATTAAGAGTAAACAAAAAAGAAAATTACAGTCATACTCCACTGTATCCGAGATCTTTCTGAAAAAATACATAGGTTATGCAAACAGCATTAAACTCAGAACAGTTTTAGATGTCACCACACAGAAAAATTGTACTTAGTACAGACTAAATCTCCTAAAGACCCAATAGAGAGTAAAATACTTACAAAAAACCCTATAAAACTTCAATACATTGCAGATAAAAAAAAAAGGTAGAATTGAGGAGTATAATAAACATACTGGACTTCGTAATAGTCCATCATACCATAGAAGAAGACCATACGGTAAAATGGAATGGCACTAACATTATCGGATGTGAACCACATACGAGAAAAAGGAAGCCCTCAACATCCACCTAACTGAAAACAACCTCAGTCAACCTAGCCCAGAAGCAAAAAGAAAAACCGCATTTTCCTTTTGAAAACATTCATATAGTCAGTTGATGCAAATTCTAAATTGGAGGAGATGATAGTTGAGTGGTTAGTACACCATATTTTCCATCAAGAAGACCCAGGATTAAATTGTAACCACTACCAACACAGAGATAGTCCTTCTAGGAACTTCCCTAGAGATGGCAGTAGATTAATTAGTAGTTGAAACATAAGATAAGAAACTGAATAGTTATTAGTTTTAAGCTATAAACAAAAAGTATGTATTTAAAATATTAATTACTTATTAATTATATTCAGGTGATCAGTTAATATCAGATCACCATAAACCTTACGTACATCTTCCCTTACTTTTCTGTGATCAGTTAGATCAAGAAGTCACCATTATCACTTGATATTCCATCTCTCAAGGAAAAGTAAGCTCTCAGTGATTTTAAACAGAAAATTAAAGCTTTTTCTGTCAATAAAAAAAAGGAAATTTTAAAGTCTGTGCACTCATACATTGATTGTGTTGTGAGAAATAAAGATTGAATTTCTCTTTATTTTAAGGTGTTCATTCTCTTTCTTGTTTAAACTTAGAGTTAGAATTTTTATTTTCTCTGAAAGAATTTCCCATTATGTGCAGGAATTGCATGAAAGGTTTGTTTAGGAATACCATAAAGCGATAGTACACAATCCTTTCATCCAGTGCAAAAGTGCTTACTATGAGTGGCATGAAGTGTCACTTTCATTTGTTGTCGGCCTCACATATTTTAATAGCAACTTCTTCAAATGGCTGACAAATTAAAATAATTAATTTGATTGTTTATTCATTTAGAGTAGATATTTGTCAGTCCACCAGAGGTCTTTTACCAAATTTCATCAAAGTTTGATAAGGAAGTTCTTCACAACAATTTAACAGAAGAAAAACAGGGACCTTTAGATTATAAGTCTAACTGATCTCAGGCTTCAGTTTATAAATCAGCAGAAATTTCTTAGTATGGAGGCTTTATTCTTCATTGGCCTGAGATCAGTGTTCTCAGTTCGGCTTATAACTTAATAGTAAAGCTTTTAAGTGTAACATTGAAAAATTATGCTTTAAATATATGTATATATAAGTATGTTAGTGTATGAATCCATTTATAGTTATTTCTACATTCAGGTATAATTTACACATGTCCAAAGGAATGTCAAAGATGGATAAAAAATTTATGTAATTTTGAAACTGATATGATGTGTTAGAAATATATCAAGAATAAAGCTAGTTCTCATTTGGATTATTAGTTTTGAAAGATTAATGTGTTTATAAGATGTTGATATTAAGAGAGATTTTGTTGTTTTTACACTATATACACTTTCCAGCAAACTTAGAGGCGATAAATTGTGTTAAATGGATTCATTTTTTGGTCTCTCAGTCAGTCTTTTGGGAGTCAATGTTGGAAACACAAGTACTCGCATTAGCCGTTTTGCCAATTATTTACGAAACTTGCTCCCATCTAATGACATTGGAGTAATGGAGTTGGCAGCCTATGCTGTAGGGAGATTGGCTCTTTCAAGTGGAACGTACACTGCAGAGTATGTGGAATTTCAAGTAAAGAGGGCTTTTGAGTGGTTAGCAGGAGAAAGACATGAAGGCAAGAGACATGCAGCAGTAAGTACTAAAAGTTTGAGCAGCATAGGAAATTATTAAAAATATAATCCTTAATATAAGTATTTTTCTACAAATGATTTTGGATTTCAATTTTTGGAAAACTTAATTGCATCAAAAGGTGAAGGAACTGTAACATTGAGGAATTTCTCTTATAAAATTTAAAATTAATATTAAAAAATAGTATTTACTGATTAATTTATTAGTGCATAATATAAAAGGCAAGTAATGGTGCTAAACATGCATGAGAAATTGTTTTTGTTCGTATTCAAATTTATGATCTCATCTACTGATTCTGTTCTTTTCCTTTTTTTTTATCAGGTGTTGATACTAAAAGAGTTGGCTGTTTCTACACCTACACTATTTTTCCAACAAGTTCAGCAATTCTTTGATTGCATCTTTAATGCTGTTAGGGATCCTAAGGTAAACATTATTCTTTGTTTAAGATGGATTTTGGCAGTGTTTTGATCGTATTGGTTGAAATTTTTGTGAAAAAAAGACTCAGCATGAAGCCCAAAATATCTTTCCAGCACAAAAAAAATTGCAGGAGTTGTCCACACAGGAATTTCAAACAACAAATATTATTCTTCAGTATTGTCTATGGGAAAGTAAATTAAACCTGTAATAAGCACCTACTTGTAGGAAAGTACCACTAAATAAACAGTATTTAAATAACAGGAATGCAGCCAGTGGTAATAGTGCACAGGTCACCAACTTGAAGAAAATTTACATGGAATAAGGAATTGAGACAGAGACCTTTTTTGACAACAATTATTACCAATTCTTTAACCCTGCATTAGTTTTCTGTAAAAAATTTCCATAGTCACTCTTCTGGGGTCCGAGTGGACCCCATCATAAAAAAAATTAAAATATTTGAATAATAATAAAAAAACTATTATTTTGGAAACAAAAAACACTAACACTCAAAATCTTTTCCTTTATTAATAAATACTAACTAATTGACTAAGAGACCACTGTACGTGCTATAGTCGATCAAGTAGACAACAATACAAACAGCAGTTACATATACACTGTAAGGAAAACTGTGCCCCAATTTCAAATTAACTGTTGGTAGAGTATCGTTTAAACTGAGCTCTTTCTAACGACTATATACACTTATGTCAACTAATTTTATTATCAATATATGAAAATCAAATTAACATGATACTGTATGTTATAATTTAATTTTTATGTTACCTAAGATTTAATTACTTTGTTTCAAGCCATTCAAAAAATACATAAACTGCAGTTTTCATGTCACATGATCCACACACTTTCAAAAGTCTCAACTTTAGCATCATTTCTCTCTTAGACACACAAACTGGCATTTACAGTTGTTTCTACACAATAAATGCGTATGTTTGCCACATGAGATAGTCAGCAAGCTAGGTCATCTGGGAAACAGATATAAATTTTCCAACCCATGATGGTTGCCACACCCACCTTTTATACATTGCCTTGATATTTATAACATACATGTACCTAATGTTAGTCAAATACAGCTGAAATATCAATAAAATAAAAATTATAAATATATATAGATGTATAATTTTATGAGATTTAAGCTATTTAGACTGAACATTTGTGGTTTCTTGTTATAATCTGTAGTTATTCTAGAATGAAAAAAGTGTAATTTATATGTATTTCCTAATTTTTATGGTGTTACAAGGTAGGTCAAATCGACCAAACCCATACAGAGATACAATAGTAAAAATTACAGATAAAATATAAAGTTTTTTCTAAAAGAAACTTTTTGATAATTATCTGGAGAATACGAAGATTTCGCATGTGAAATTTGACAATTTTCTGATGCATAAAAGTATTTTTAATCTAAAATCAAAATTATTTTGCATGTTGGATAGTCCACAGTCAAAAAGAAAAAATGCACAAGAAAATCATTATTTAAAAATTTTAAAACTTAATAAAAAAAAAATCTCATATTTTGTATATGAAAACCGAGCCTATAATGAGAGAATTAAGAGATAAACTCAAAACTGCCAACAAGGGAACTTGAATAACTAAAAGGATAAAAATTACTTCAAATCATCAGCAGAAAAAGCCAATACTACAACATATGTACAAACTTGCAGGATCAATGTGAAAAAACACAAGTCAATGATGTGGGGCATGAGGTAAAAAGAGCACCTGAACTAATTTGATATTAAAATATGATTAATAAACCAGAGAAAGAAAGCCACAGGAAAAAGAAAAGCAGGTACGTACAGTTTACCAACTGTAAATGAAGTTTTTAATCTAGAGTTTGGAGATGAGGACTGAAGTCATTGAAAAATACAAAGAAAAATTAAGACCACTTCTGACAACAGCAAATCTAATTTAATGTGTGAAAAATTTAACTTAAACCCTATGGCCCCTTTCTGTGTATGGTACTGCATTATATTCAAAATTTAATTAAATCACAGAAGTTGCAATATCCAATAATATAAAACTGGCCTTTACAAAGTGATCTGTCTTGGCTTTGTTCTAGTGGACAAGTATTTTGTAAAATACTGTCGCATTTCAATTATAATACATTACATATGTATATATATTTTTACTATTTACAAAATGTTCTTAAATTTCATTTAATATTCTTAAAACAGAGCAGTAAATAAAGAAATATAGAAAACAATGATCTCTTCTATTTATGAAGTTTGTACTCACTTACTGCTTGCCGTAATTTGCCTTGTCAAATTTCACATGTGGAGGATGTAAAACAAAATAATTTTTTTAGATTTTATATATGCATTTCGAAATAAAAAATCATAATTTACTATATCAATACCACAGAATTCCACTATAATTTATCAGGCTTAGTAACTAAGCTGAATTTTGGTCTAAAAATTATGATATTTTGAGCTCTGTCATCTCTTACCTCTCTGCTTTGATTCTGCAATGAAAAGGAAAGTTTTCCTGCCTGAACACTTCGCAAAGGTTGGGAAAACCATGTGGGAGACATTCTGAGCTTGTTGATTATAATATAACACATCATAGAGAGAAGTATGTGTATGTAAGCATTTCCAAAAATGAAAGAGGTGGGTGAGGCCACTGTTTGATTTGCTAAATATAGTGATATCTAAGCAAATAGAACAGATAGGAGGTTCTTATTTTATATTATAGGTTATTAGTATCAGAAATTTGAGTTTCTGATTAATAATAAACTATAGACTTTGTAGTTGGACATCACAGAACATCTAATTTGAATCAAAGCTACATTCAACATACCATATGACACACAAAAATTGATATTTAGGTTTTTTTTTATATTTTGTTTTAAATTAAGAAATTAACTAATGTGTAATACTAAAATTTGATTAATAAATTATACAATTTGATACCAAACTTATTGACATACATAAAACAGGAGTTCAATAAAAATTTTGAATGTAAGTCTTCAAATTTGACAACATGCCCTTTAACCCCTGACCATAGGAAAACTTGTTGAGATAGGGTTAAAGGTAGGCATTTTATTTGTCCTTCAGTTTTTTTTCTTCTCGGAGTTGATATTGACCAGCGCTGCTCTAGGTTATTGATTTTGTTCCAGTGTTTTAACTGCCAAAGATACTGTCATTATGTTGGATCATGCTGTCACAAACATGCTGCAGTAAAAGCCATAACCCTTGACTAAAAAAACAAATGTGCCAACTGTGGAGGAATTCATATTACCTCATATACAAGATACCTCAAATACATCAACATAAATGAGATAGTTCAAAATAAATCAAAAACACTTCTTCCAAATCCACAAACATTAAAAACTACTATCCCTTGCACACTAAGAAATTTCTCCAGTCTCTCTAATATAAACACACAAACTCCAGTAAATACAAAAACTACCTCTAGCATATCCAATGCACTAGCATGTAAAATTAACTTGCATAACCACAAAAAAAGCCTTGTTCTTTGCCTAGTTGACATAATTTTTGCCCTCAAGAAAATAAAATGTTTCACAAACAAACAGTTGAGGCAAACACTAGTAAAAATATTCAACAAACACTTCAAATTAACGTTCAGTGCTGATAGACTACACAAATCCTTAGTTGATCAAGATTCTGATAAGGAGGAATATGAAACAACTTAATGTGTGCACTAAATACCCTCCACTGTAACAGTCTGGGAATTTAGAATTACGAATCTTAGCCTCAATAAATTATGCATATATCATTATATTAAGTGAAACAAAATTAAATACAAAATCAAAACCATTTGTATATGGCCAGCTAAACATATCAATACCTAAAACAATGATAATCCAGGTGTATCATTTTTGTTTATAAAACAAACATGAATATAACACAATTACACCAATTTATAAATTCAAACAACATTGAAATTATAGGAAGAGATATAACTACAAATTCAAATATTAAAATAACTATTACAGCCATATATTGTAGTCCAACACACACAACTGATACTCAACTACTCTTAGATCTTTTTTCTCGGAGTTGATATTGACCAGCTCTGCTCTAGGTTATTGATTTTGGAAAGTCGGTGTATTTATATTTCATGTACAAATTTATTTTTAAGAAGATGGTTGTTATTAGGATGAAGAAAGTATCATTTCAGACTACTTTAGACATGCCAAAAATGCATGTGTTTGTACTGTGTCCAAGTGACAGGTTTATTTGAAAGATAGGGGAAGATTTTAAAGTCCTATAATGTTGGTTAAATTACTGTGAACATTAGCAGAGGTACAAGCATTATGACTGTGTTAACTTGTAAGAGTTATGCTGTATCTATGTGTTTACTAATTTCATAAATTTTTTTTTTGAAGTGTGTTATCCGAGAGGGAGCAGTGTTAGCACTGAGAGCAGCTCTTATGGTGACAGCTCAACGTGAAACCAAAGAAACTCAGAATCCATTCTGGTATAAGGTATGTTGTTGTTTATTAGACATAAAAAATGAATTAGAAAAGTCATAATAAAAATATGTTGATCATTAGATGTTGCAGGAGATCAGAATGGTGGGTATTACATTAATGCACAATTATTGTGGCAATTTTCTGTGTAATATGTGTCCTTTGAACAGTATAATTTTCATCATGTTACTTGATTTTGCAAGTTGTCCTTATATTAACAGTTAAGTGTGAATTAATATCATTATGAAACAAACTAAACTGTTAGAGAAATTATAAAATTAATGTATTTCAAGAAAATTTTTAAGATTTATTATATTGCCAATTTGAAAGTATCATCTTAATTCACTTAATGGGCAGTTCCAACTACTACTTACAAGAATGTTGTATTAATGTTTCACATAACAAGCATAATCATAAAATTCATTCTACTTTTAAAACAAAATCATCAAAATAGTTTTAGTCTTCAGTATTTAATGTGAAAAATACAAAAAATTGTTTTGCATTATTGCTATTTGAGCTTTAGTAATTGATTCTGGAATCTATTAGTTTAGGAAATTTATCTCTATAGTAAAACGACAAATTTTTCAGCAATGTTACGAGGAGGCAGAAAAAGGATTTGAAGAGCTTTCTGTCCGAGAAAAAGGAGTTAACAGGGATGATAGAGTTCATGGTTCACTCTTGATTATTAATGAACTTCTGCGATGCAGTAATATTGAAGGAGAGGTAATGATTAAAACTAAGTACTTGTAGTGCTTTCCTTACTAGTGATAACAATAGTTAGATGGATGCAATCTTTGTATCTGAGTTGTTGGGGAATTTCAATATTTATTTAAGTAGGATGTCAATAAATAAAAATATTAGTATTTCATGTCACTTCTAAGATGCACAAAACACCTGTTATGTTAGATAAAGCGTAATGATTAACTCTTTTGTTGTGGATAGGTCAAACTGCGTATGTCACAATCTTTTGCGGAATTACACAATTCATTCAGAATTTTAATAAACCACTTACAATCTGTAGTCATTCTAGAAAGAAAAGGGGGGTAACTTATTTTGTATTATTATTTTGTGTGTGTGTGTGTGTGTGTGTGTGTGATGGTTACATGTTTGTGTAGTTAGTGTAGAGAAGAATAACATAAAATATAAAGTTTTACTGAAATAAAGTGTGTGATATACGTTTAGGAGGTTTTGGAGATTATGCACATGAAGCTTAAAACCTGTAAGATGAGACATAATTTTAGTCTTAACATGAAAATCACCTTGCACACAAACTAGTCAACACTCTGACTCCATATATTCATGGACAAAAAATATTTTTCTTATAAAAGACGTATTG